TAAAACCGTGCCAGGGTAGCAATTTAGGCTCCTCCCCCGACTCCGCCCACTTTTCCCCGGAATTTGCGGGGTCTCAAAAGTCCGCGAAAAAGTCTTCGAGTGATTCAAGGCTCTGAACTTCTAAAAATGAAAATGGGAACATGGAAAAATGAATATAGACATATAGCAAAAAAAACTCAAAATATCACTGAAAACGACACTTTCAGGCGAATCTTGGTTACGATTTTGAGCACCCTTATCACGAATTTAAAATTAAAATCAAATATAAATTGAGCGATTGCAAAGTTTGGCTGAAGGCAGTTGTTAGCTTATGGCGGATCTTGTGAACTTTCTGTAGAAATTTAAATCCAACTTCATTTATTTAGATCGTTAAAAAGACGTCTGTTTTCGAAACTACAGTACTCGAGCTCGAGTGGTTAGAAAGCAAATGAGCGAATTAGTCAAAATATCATCAAGCTGAAGAGTATTTGTCATCCGAAACAACTATTTTTTCATGTCCCTGTTGCTTCAAATTCCCAATTTTCTGCTTTTTTCGAGTCGAACAGCCTTGAATTTATGAAAACAAGACATTGCAATGCGTTGTGAAATAGCTACAGTATGATAAAAATCATTTTCGCTTTAATCTATTTTCGAAAAACACACTTTGATACATTGGAAGAATGCAAGAACATTGAATCATGTGAAACTCAATCAAAGGGTCTTGAAAGCATTCTTTGAGACTCCGCCCCCGAGTTCTCCCACAGTTTGATAAGGTTCCAGATAAACCATTTGTTTTTTGTCTTCTATTCAACGAAACCATCGAGTTTCATCGAACTTCAGTAATGATTCCAATTGGAACTCTCCACCTCGACCCAGCCCCAGACGACCTAGAAAGGAGATCTATTTTCAAGTATGAAAGCTACAAAGCAGTTATCTCTGTGAAGAGACCAAATGAAGAGATGATTCGAATTCTGGGAAGAACTACAACTATCCTCTCGATCTTCGAACTGGTTTTGACTATTCCACTCGTTTGGTTTGTTTGGAATCCGCTGTGTTTCTTATTGGTAAGTGCAATGCATTATCATTTTTTCTTTTTCATTTCTTTATTTCATTTTCAGGTCATTCCACTGATCTTCCGTGTTGCTGCCCTTCCAACCAAATGCGTCCCAATTCAATCTAGCCCCTTGTTCGTTACCTTCCACAGCATGGTCATCGGTACCCAAGCCCTCGTTATGTTTGGCTTCTCGTATCTTTCCGCTCAAGCGTACCACTGGAGCAATGACAAAGGATATACGTTTGTATGTCTAACCTGTATCACATTCAGTAAGTTGGAAAATGTATTTAAGTCTTTTTTAATTTTTCTTTCAGTTCTGGCTCTTCGTTTCGGTTTGACACTTCTTCAATATAAACACCTCAATATCGTCCGTCTCAATCGAATTCTCGCCTCTCGTGGCTTCATTTTCACTCTTACTTGATTTTCGAAATCGTAATCACAATTTGTCTTTATTTACCAAAAAAAACTTTAATCAGAATACTTTCTTGTTTGAAATAGCTCACAACAATAAATAGATCAACTACAGTAACTTTTTATAATCGTTCCACGACGCAATTCGCAACAGCCTGATGAGCCTTTAAACTGTTGCGTTTACGGTATTGTTTTGTTTTTTGATTCTTCTCCGTGCATATAATTTCAGCAAGTTATTTTCAGCTGAAATAATGAAGAAAGGAAAGTTTCTAATCGTTAACGAGCCAAACGAAGAAACTATCGATCACGAATTGAAAGTCTCTACTGAAAATTGCGATGTTTACTCGGCTCTGGTCTACATTCCAAAGTTCAACAAGAAAATGGAAAAAGGCCTTTTCTGTGTCTTGGCTTTGTGCACTCAAATCGCTTTGTTCGGATTAATGGCCTACTTCTTCAAAATCGGATATCTCGCTTTCGTAAATATGATCGTCTAACAATTTTTTTAATTGAAAAGAAAGCTTTCAGATCCCATTCGAACTCTTCTTTTTCGTCATGTATGGAAAGGAGAACGTTTGGAATCTCGATCTGCAGATCATTTATCTCGCAAGTTTTCCCTTCCATTCAGACATAAGTTCGTTTTTCAGTTTTTCCAGCTGTTCTTCGCAGCTTTCACCACCTTCCTCGCCTTCGGAACAGGTACAATAGTTGTATTTTCATTTTATGTGTAACTCGTTTTTTTTTCAGAGGGCGAAGGAACTCGTAAAGACTTTGGCTGGATTGCTCCAGATCTGGAAACCGGAACATTGGCATTGTTCGGAGCAGTTTTCGGAATTTGTAAGATTTTTCATACTTTTTCAATTTGCAAGATTTTTTAGTCACTATTCTTCGTCTTCTTCTCGTTGCCAGCTACCGCACCCATCTCTTCTACTCCAACCTCCGTGACAAATTCATGGATGGTAAAGTCGTTCTTCAGCCTGTATAAGCTTCTCAACATTATCAAATTTGGTTTTATCATTGTTATTCTCCTATCATTGTTACCTTGTTGCTCGTTTTATTCAATGAAACTCGTTAATAACGAAAACCAGGATTTGAATCATTGAGCTTCAGTATTGTCTGGAAAATTACTTACCAACGAACGGTGTGGAAAATCTTGTAATTCACTCAGAAAATCATTACGGGCATGTTCGAATATATGTTCCTCTTTGCATTTTGATTCGAACTGCCGCTGTCTGTCCTTTCCGTGGTAATTTGAATTCTTCGCCTCGTTCTCCGCGTCTCCCCCGTTGACACACTATTGCGCTTGGGACGTCTTTGTTTGCGTTCGTTCTGTCCAATCTCATCTTTTTGCTCTTTTTTTTGCTTCTAAGGGGGGGGGGGTTACTAGGTTCGGTGGATAATGTTTCGCAATAGTGTCAATGAGCCAATATCAAAAGCCAGTACTTCAAACTTTTTCGATAAGAGCTAGGTTCCAATTGATGACTCATTTTTCCAATCTTTCGATTTCATCCTTTCGTTTTTCATTTTTCTTATCGAACTTGTTCTTTTGTGTTGTTTTGCCTCTGCTACTTCTTTATAAAATGAAACTAATCGAACGATTTTGTCAGATGCCTCCCAACGGCACAATTACCACAACACCTCGTAGCCGAATGCCAACTTCCACTCCCACATCAGGAAGGCAACGTCCAAAGAAAGAAACTCTTCATTTCCTAGCTTCAAGTTCTTCTACGACTTCTGTTGATGCGGCAAGAGCTATATTGGGTATGTCCTTCTGAAACCTAAATTCGACACTATAATGCTTTTTCAGAACGTGGAGCTAATGTGAATGTAATCGATCGAGAAGGTGCTACTCCCCTACATTATGCCTGTGTTCATGATAATGTGGCGATGGCTCAGCTCTTTTTAACTTTTGGTGCTGATCCAATGAGTGCTGACAAACTGGGTAGAACGGCGTATAGTATCGCAAAAGGGAATACTTTGAGGCAAGCATTCGTTTTCAGAATGACAAATAAAAATTTCAGAGTGACAAGTATAATCTGATTTCAGGTTTCTTCGCCGCTACAAAAAGGCCAATAGCCAACAACGCCATGGATTGTTCCGTCGTTTCTTTTCTTGTCACTCTCGAAATGATACATTTTTCATTGTTCGTCAAAACCAGGAAGTCGCTCCTCTTCGGCCGACTGCTCTCGCAGAGACCGCATCAATCTCGTTTGATCGAGGAAACGCTATCACAAAATCATATAGAAACGCGAAAAAGAAGATTCGTGCAACATTCAATGCTCTCCGAAGGAGTCAATCGAACAGTGCATCCACCTTGCAAGATATTGTGCTGACTTCGGAAGGATACAGAACCATAACAACTCCAAGTCGAACTGCCCCGAGAGTTGTGTCAGCGAAAAGATCGATGTCTGTGTCTGATCTTCCTAGGATACCGGACAGGAGAGATATAAGAGATGAAGATAGGAAAACAAGACGATCGCCAGTAAAGAAAGGAGGAAGAGTAGCTGGAAGATCGAAAACTCCTGAAGCAGTTCTGAATTCAACTAGAAGACAAGCACCACGTTCGAAGCGGTCGAAAAGTCAAGAAAGTCATGGAACGCAGCTGGTTGCCATGTCTCAACCGAATCCAATGTCATACTATAACAATGCAAGAGCCAGAAACGCTGGATTGCGACCAGCTCCATCCGCCCCTCCGCTGTCGCCTACGCCTGAATTAGCGGAGAAAACTCCAAAACGTTCGAAAGCCCGGAGCAAAAGTCCTGTCGCTAGCACAACAACGTATTTCACCGCTGACGAGTCTCTAGAGTTGATCGGAGTTAACATGGAAAAATTGAATCTTGGTTCGAAATCGGCCAAAAAGTCAACAAAAACACCCTCGAAAACTCCAACTAAACCATCATCGTCATCTGGATCTTCATCCGCGGAAGAAGACATTGAAGTTCTAACACCAACCACTGTGGATGATGGAGAGATCAGAAAAATTAGAAGATTACGCGACGTTGAGTTGAAGAGTGAGCTGAAAAAATATGGAATATCTCCTGCTGGACCGTTAGATCCTCGAACAAGACGACTTTATGAAAAGAAGTTGCTCATAGAGAGACGGAAAATTACAAGTCGTGGATACTCACCTGATGCTGATGTGGTTGCATGTGTAAGTTTTCTGAAGGAACGCATTATTTTAAGATATATTCGTCTTCGACTATGCTTATAACAGTTAGAACTCTACTAGTCTCTAAATCTCTCTTGACAGTCAATACTAAAAACGTTTCACATAGTCGATTGTCTTTGAAAGTAGTCAACTGTATTTTTTCCAGAACTCCAATCCAAAAATTTCAGAAAAACTCACCACAGCTGGAACTAATTCTTCGGAATGGTTTTCTCCCAGCCGATTTCGCATCTAGAGCCCGTAAAAGCGACGAAACAGTTCGAAAGGAGTTCAGTGGAAATGGATTTGGTTATAACGCATTCTGCTATTTGATCATGGATCCTCGCATTCTGGGAAGTAATGTGGAGGCATTGACGCTTGCTACATTTGTTCGATCAATATTCTATGTGGGAAAAGGATCCAAAAATCGACCTCTTGCACATTTCATAGATGCTCGGAACGAAAGAAGAGAACAGTCGAATAAACTGAAGACGTGTGAAAAGCTGAAGACTATCGATGAATTGTGGACTCTGGGATTCGGAATTCCCAGACATGAAATTTGTATGTTATCGTAGTCTGATTACTGTAGTCGGATCAGAGTTTTCATAGAAATGTTTTCAGCTCATGGCGTATCCGACGAAGAAGCATTCGTGCGAGAAGCGAGCATCATTGAGGCTGTCAAACTAGTGAATTTGAGAAACAAGAAAGTATGTCTCCAAATTTATGTCCGAGATGATTTCTACTTTCCAATTTTACTTTTCAGGGAGGAGAATTTCATGGCTCCACAAAGTCTTGGGATAGTATCACAAAAGCAGAATTCGGAACTTTCTTGCTCGACCGAGCATTGGCCACATTGAAATTGGAAGGAATCCGTCTTATCACCGAGGACAATCTGCCAGACAGTCTCTATCCATATGTGACGAATCGCCGAGGAGCTACAGGTGCACGGACACCAAAAACACCGAAATAGCTAATTCTTTTATCGATTTTACTCTTAAAAAGTGTAATCAAATTCAAATTTCGTTGTATATTATTTTTCCTGATACCCTAGTCTCTAGTCTATACGATCTTTCAATTCACTTATACTTCTGGATCTCTTTGTATATCTGTACTATTTTTGCTGCCAGTCTTTTTTCATAGATCATGTTTCGTATTATCTTGACTTTTTTGAAGTTCCAAATATATCAGCCTATTCTTATGATCACAAGTTTTTAAGGGGATGAATCTTCATTAGCTCCTTGAAGATAAAAAAATAGAGCAACACCCAATTTATCTTAGCACTTCCCAGTCGTCGTCATTCTTGTCTCTTTGACTTCTTCTCACTTTTTCTTCAGCTAAAGCATTCTTCAACTCTTGGATTTCTGTATGCAGCTTCAGATTCTCCTCGTCCTTCTCCTTGATTACATTCTTCAAGTTTCTGTTCTCGTAGCCATAACGATCCGCCAGTTTTTTGTACATGTCGATTGTTGTTTGGATCTTCTCCACATTTTGCATTGTCGGCTGAAAGTATGGAGGAATCAAAAAGAAAAGTTAAGCTTAACGTTGTAAAATAGTAGAAAAGAATGTGAGGAAAAGAAAAGAACAGAAAGATAATATGAGCATCATGCTATTTCTCGTGATGTGAATTAAGAGCGAAGCGGAAGGAGGAAGGGAGAAGTTGGCCTGGATACGCGAGAGAAATAATCGCATAATTGTTGTTGGAGAGTGCATCGAGTAATGAGAAAGGAAAGGGCTCTTTATGCACCTGATGTGAGATTTAAAAAAGCTGGCTTTCAGAATCATAGAGAAACGGAAAGACAGGTTGGTGCACAATTCCCCGGACTGATAAGCATGGGAATCTTTAGACATGAGTATCTTGGAAGTACGAAAATTGGTAGAAATATACTTTTACGTTTGAATCAAAACTACTGAAATTCTCAAAACGATTCTTCAAGTTAAGGTACTGCTATAATGGTCCAAAGATAAATAATGTTTACTGCACGCCGTTTTGATTTTCATGCGATGGGTAATCATTTAGGCTAATCATTTAGGTATATAATAAAGGAAAAAAGAAATAAAATCTATGTCAATGTGACCACATCCAGTGCCTAATAATAGGGTTTATGAGTTACTGCATTTAACGAGTGGGTGGGTCTTTCCAGTTTTTTGAATGACTGACTGGACTGAAGCGAAAAATATCGATGTCCAAACCAAGAATTTATTTGGAAAAAAACTGAACAACTAAAATTTCAAAAAAACATATTCATTGATAATATGCATAGAACAAGATGATCAGAAGTTTCATAAATCTCGCTATTTCTTTTTTTTATCAGCTCCAAAAACGTCTCCACCAACAGCAGCCAATGTCTGATAATTAGGATCCATAGTTGCCGCTTTCTTATTTTTGTCAGTCGGTTGAATGGGTTTCTTATCCCCTCCACCACCACCTCCTGCCTTCTTATCAGCACCAAATACATCTCCTCCGACTGCTGCCAATGTCTGATAGTTGGGATCCATTGTTGCTGCTTTCTTATTTTTGTCAGCTGGTTGAATTGGCTTTTTGTCTCCCCCGGCAGCCCCTCCTCCTCCTCCATCTTTCTTGTCGAACACGTTATTGTTGAGACCAGCCAGAGTCTGATAATTCGGATCATGGGTAGCTGCTTTCGCGTTCTGATCAGCTGGAGCAGTTGGCCCTCCAGCTCCTCCTCCAGCAGCTCCTCCATCCTTCTTATCAAAAACATTGTTATTCAATCCAGCCAATGTTTGATAGTTTGGATCGTGAGTTGCAGCCATTCCTGGTTTGGCACCAGCTGGTGGAGCAGCACCACCTCCAGCAGGTGGACCACCCTTTTTGTCTTATTGACCACACTAGATTAAGAGATTGAAGAGTACTAAGGACAGGGATCTTTTTTTCAGAACTTCGTGCAATTCAAATGGATTCTGCAAGTCTACCATCCCTTCTTCTCATCTCAATAATTACAATCTTTTTCAACTTCTACGGGTTTTAATTCTAAAATGTTCACTTAATTTTGTTTGGTTTCCTATGGTACTCCTTTGCTGTGTATATGAAATTATAATTTTTATTGTATTCAAGTTTGATTTTAAAAGTATAAAAGAAATTCATCGTATTATGTACTTCTGATATTTCGATATTGCCGAATTATTGAATTACTAATTAGATTTTTATTAAGCTATTCGATGGTAAGTATTACGGAGTACAGAGGTTCACTGAAGGATTTTATCTATTTTCTCTTCTTATCCGCACCAAAAACATATCCACCAACTGCTGCCAAAGTTTGATAGTTAGGGTCGAATGTGTTCGCTTTTTGATTCTGAATCCAACATTCAAATAACTCCGAGCTCCCAGTTTTAGTTCACCTTATTAGCTGGTTGTATTGGTTTCCTTCCATCTGCTCCTCCTACTTTCTTATCAGCTCCGAAAACGTCTCCACCAACAGCAGCCAATGTCTGAAAGTTAGGATCCATAGTTGCCGCTTTCTTATTCTTGTCAGCCGGTTGAATGGGTTTCTTATCCCCTCCTGCACCACCACCTCCTGCCTTCTTATCAGCACCAAATACATCTCCTCCGACTGCTGCCAATGTCTGATAGTTGGGATCCATTGTTGCTGCTTTCTTATTCTTGTCAGCTGGTTGAATTGGTTTCTTGTCTCCACCGGCAGCTCCTCCTCCTCCATCTTTCTTGTCGAACACGTTATTGTTAAGACCAGCCAGAGTGTGATAATTCGGATCATGGGTAGCTGCTTTTGCGTTCTGATCGGCTGGAGCAGATGTTCCAGCTCTTCCTTCTTCTTCATTTTTCTCATTTTTCTTATCAAAAACGTTATTGTTTATTCCAGCCAATGTTTGATAGTTTGGATCGTGAGTTGCAGCCATTCCTGGTTTGGCACCAGCTGGTGGAGCAGCACCACCTCCAGCAGGTGGACCACCCTTTTTGTCAAAACAGTCATTTCCAATGCCAGCAAGAGTTTGGTAATTGGGGTCATGAGTCGCTAAAATAGAAAATAATTTTTGAGGACTATAAGGATTTTCATTACCAGCCATTCCAGGACCTCCAGGTTTTGGTCCACCAGCGGCAAGGGGTGGTGGTGGAGGAGCTGGAGAAGCAGGGGCCGCAGGGGCCGCAGGAGCAGCAGGAGATCCGCCAGCAGTTGAAGCAGCTCCACCAGCTGTCGAGCTGTCCTTATCCTTTTCTTCAGTTTTCGATGATCCTGTTGAGTCACTTTCAGATGGTTTTGCTTTCGTCTAAAACTGAACATCAAAATATGAAATATATATCCGAACAGCTCACTTTTCCACATCCTGGCAACACGAGAAGAGTGGCAACGGAGCCGGCAGTTGCCAAGTTCAAAGCAATTCCAATGATATCTTGAACGTCGGTAGTCACGAACTTCCAGTTGACTTTCTCTCGAATGAGTGTTCAAATGGTTGAGAATATACACACTTCGTAAAACGAACTGGTGGACAAAAAGACTGGGAATAACAAGAGGAAGATTATGAGTAGAAGGGAACGTACCAAAAAACTACAGATGACTTCGGAAGATAACCCTTTTATGGGAGTCCAACTGGAACGTGAGTTCAAAAAAAAATCATAAAGAAATCTACGGCTATCGATATCATGGACATGGATTCTGGTTGTTTAAGGTCAATTTCAACTTTTCCAATTTTTTTGTTGATTTGAAAAGAAAACTTAGTTCGAAGTTTCAACATCTAGTTAGACAGGCTTGAGATGGATTTCAACGAAGTCTATTTGGTCAAATTCGTCTTTCCCATCTACTTCTCTTTCTCTATTCCCGTTTTCCTTTCACTAATTTTTATCTTCCTTTTTCAGTTCATGTTACAGGGTGGCACATAACTACCAGGACTCAATTTTGTTCTATCATACAATTTGGATAGAGCATTGTACCGGGCTCAAATTTTGAGTGCAAAATTACGAATAATTCATCAGTAAACTGACCAATTCTCAAATTATTTGAATAATTTGAGCTGCGTTATCGCTTGCCAAAGTTGCTTCATCTCATGCAAATCACAAAGAAACATTACGTCGTTAATCTTCTGACAATCACAGTACCTAGAGCGATCGCTTTGAAAATATCAGTAGCTTTGAACCAAACGTAAAATTAAAATTCTACCAATTTTCGTGCTTCCAAGATGCTTATGTCTTAAGATATACCCGTTTTTATCGCATCCATTTTTTTCATTCGGTTTTTTATTACGCCACAAAAACTCTGGAAGAGGATTTAAACACAAAAAAACAAATAACATGTTTTGTAATTGATCATACATATTAACACAATCCGTGTTGCATCCAAGTTCAAAATCGTTTTTCATCTGTACAAATAGAAGTGAGCATTCTAGGGCAATAAGAAATGTTGATCATGGATCAGTGAAATGGATCAGTGAAACAACGATAAATCATAGAAGAAAGATCCCTTGAAATATCAGTATCATTTCGTCCCCACCTGTCGCTTATATCAACTTCTCACCTCTTCTATAAAATCCCCGTCTCATCTCGCTATCTTCACTTTTTGGTTGATCCTCCCAATGTTTTCAGTTCTCATCTCCCTTATCGTTGCCACGTGGTTCTCTCCAGAATTCCACGCGGAAGGAGCTGTTGGCTCCGATTTGAACTGCACCACCTACAATGACACTGCATTCGTCTATTCGAATACAGCTACAATTTGTGCCAATGTGATTAGTGATGCTGCTTGTGCCGTTTTATATCCATCTGACACAACTGGAGCAGTGGCTCCTGGAAATGACAATGGACGTCCGTTAACTTGTTATACAACAGCAACAACCACTCCAGCAGCTATCGTTCAGGATATGAAGATTGCCGCTATTGCTGACTGTCCAGCCACGTGTGGATACTGTTGTGAAACTTCTGCATATGATTGTGCTAATGTTGCTTGTAAGCTTACTGTAGTTTGAAAAATCAGAAAAGTTACTTTTCTAGACCCACGCCTCGATTGTTCCACCATCACGAGTGCTCAATGCCTCTCTGCCACGTGGCGGACGATCATTGCGGAAGATTGCCCATCTGCTTGCGGTTTCTGTGGTTCCGGAGGTTGTGTGGATGCTGTTGTGGACTGTGCTAACGATGTTACCATTTGCACTACCGTTGGAATGCAAGACTTCGTCAATGTAACTCTTTTTTACTAATTGTATTTGATTTTCGTTATTTCAGGAATATTGTCAATACACATGTGGACGTTGTGCTTCTTCCACGACTTCATCATCTGGATCATCCAGTTCATGCACTTCATATGCTGCCGATTCCAGCTCTGCGTGTGCCGACTGGGCAGCCAATGGGTTTTGCACCAACACATTCTATACAGTAGCCCAAAGAACTGCGTATTGTGCAACGACATGCAAACTTTGCTGAGAACATTTTTTAGAGGCAACCAACACAGGAAGACGATGACGACGATAATGGGTTCTTATTTTGTAATTTTCGTGTCTGACCAACAAGAAATAAAGTTTGAATCCATGCGAATTTAATATCTGATTAGCTAAAGTTTATGAATTATCGGAGAACTTGAATACCGTAAAATCTGCAATGGAAGGGCTCCCCGTTCTTTTTGCTTCGATCCAATGTTTCTTGGTTCCAATAAAAGATTAAAAAAAAGTAAACTGATAAAAAATGTAAACTGATTATTGAGATATTGAGATAACTGAGCCTAAACTTGACAGTATGGGGAATCTTTTATTAAAAATTGTACGGTATGCATTTTTTGATGTGTTGACCCAAAATGGAATTGTCTTTCCAATGCGTGAACCTTCGAAATTTTCTGGTCTTCCCTCCCAATTTATCTTCCTCAAGTGTTTTTAAAAGAAGATTTAAAGGCCTTCTCCATTTTTTGTATGTTTTTTTTTATTTCAGAAAGAGAATGTTGCTGATGATGTCAACGTTTTTCTACGTTTTATTCACGGTTACTGTACTTTTCTTATGCTCCAAGGTAAGATCTATCCCTCGTTTCTCCAGCCCATTTATGTCATATTCAGAAGAAAAAAGAACGAGGCAAAAAACTGAAGTCATCTGAATCTAGTCGCAAAGGGTCGAAAACTTCTAAATCTGAAGAAACCAAAGAAAAACCAAATCCTTCACATTTTCCCGATGTTGCTCCAGCTCCTCCAGAACTTTCTCCACCTACTCCAGTGGCTCCTGCCAAACCTGCAATGGCGGGTGAGCGCTCATTGATAGTTTTTCTAAAAGATTTGAAATTTACAGCCACTTATGACCCTAACTACCAAACACTTGCTGGACTCAATAATAATGTATTCGAGGCTAAGGAGGTTCCAGCTAATGTTCCAGCTGCACCAGTTGCTGCCAAACCAGGAATGGCTGCAACTCACGATCCAAACTATCAAACATTGGCTGGAATAAACAATAACGTTTTTGATAAGAAAAATGAGAAAAATGAAGAAGAAGGAAGAGCTGGAACATCTGCTCCAGCCGATCAGAACGCAAAAGCAGCTACCCATGATCCGAATTATCACACTCTGGCTGGTCTTAACAATAACGTGTTCGACAAGAAAGATGGAGGAGGAGGAGCTGCCGGTGGAGACAAGAAACCAATTCAACCAGCTGACAAGAATAAGAAAGCAGCAACAATGGATCCCAACTATCAGACATTGGCAGCAGTCGGAGGAGATGTATTTGGTGCTGATAAGAAGGCAGGAGGTGGTGGTGCAGGAGGGGATAAGAAACCCATTCAACCGGCTGACAAGAATAAGAAAGCGGCAACTATGGATCCTAACTTTCAGACATTGGCTGCTGTTGGTGGAGACGTTTTCGGAGCTGATAAGAAAGTAGGAGGAGCAGATGGAAGGAAACCAATACAACCAGCTAATAAGGTGAACTAAAACTGGGAGCTCGGAGTTATTTGAATGTTGGAATTCAGAATCAAAAAGCGAACACATTCGACCCTAACTATCAAACTTTGGCAGCAGTTGGTGGATATGTTTTTGGTGCGGATAAGAAGAGAAAATAGATAAAATCCTTCAGTGAACCTCTGTACTCCGTAATACTTACCATCGAATAGCTTAATAAAAATCTAATTAGTAATTCAATAATTCGGCAATATCGAAATATCAGAAGTACATAATACGATGAATTTCTTTTATACTTTTAAAATCAAACTTGAATACAATAAAAATTATAATTTCATATACACAGCAAAGGAGTACCATAGGAAACCAAACAAAATTAAGTGAACATTTTAGAATTAAAACCCGTAGAAGTTGAAAAAGATTGTAATTATTGAGATGAAAAGAAGGGATGGTAGACTTGCAGAATCCATTTGAATTGCACGAAGTTCTGAAAAAAAGATCCCTGTCCTTAGTACTCTTCAATCTCTTAATCTAGTGTGGTCAATAAGTTTTGAATTTTCTCACGGTCTAATGTGTGGACTAGAGACATCAATGAATTCTCATTTCTGTTTTTGCTTTTCTGATTCTCCAAAAAAAAAAACTAGAGAAAAGAAAACGAAGGTGACGTTATGAAATATAATTCTCATGCCTGAATGTGTGGTCGGAGCATTTCGGGATTCGTGTCGTCGTGCTTGCGAGTAGAACTCCAATTGTGAAGGTGACGATGGAACTTCTTGAGAATCTGAAATCAAACACATACATGCTGAAATTTAGCATTTATATGTTTTCAATTCATCAATCCCATCGAAAAAGGACAGAAGACAAGCAGAGTGAAAGGTGCAAGAAACAAAAAATAAACAGAAACCATTTTCATGTTCTCCTGGAACTTCATTGCTTCCTTCTCCGTCTTCTTCTTCTCCATCATCTCCATCATCTTCATCGTCTTCTGAATATCTACCTGATCCCATTCCCGACCCTGAAAAGGTGAAAAAAGTGCAAGGAGCAGGCAGAAAATGCATTCCAGGAGAGAAGTAGTTTAAGAAATGAAAAAAGCAAAAAGTGAAAGAACTAGAACTGTAGTTTTTGAAAGAAGACATACAAAAAGACCTTAAATGAAAAAAGCTTACCTTCTGGAATGAGGTTCGAGTGAGAGAAATGATTGTGGGAGATTTCTGAAGGAACGTTCCGGTTTCCAAGAATTCCAAATTTTTAAAACTTACGATTTAGGGTGACTTGTGAGTGATGGATTCCATTATCGTTTTTGGCAACACATCGATAAACTCCGAAATGCGAATTCTGGACGTTTCTGATTTCCAGAATGTGGACACTGTGGTATTGACCAGAGACAGTGTGTGTCTGAAATTGAAAAATATTGTGGAATGTTTCACGAAAAAGCTTACAGGGGTATTGTCAGCAAAACTTTTTGTATTTTTTGCATTAAAATTTTCCCAAAATTATGTGTTTTCAAAATTTTTTTTTCAATCCTGAAAATATTTCAAATTCCAGAAAATGGCTTGAAATGCTAAGAGCTCAGTTCTCGCTCGAGTTGTTTTCATGGAATTTTTCAGCCATTTGTAAGGTCAACGAGACTTTTTTGTTCTCACCAACCAGTTTTCAATTAAATAATTATTGTTTTTGAACACAGAAAAAACGACCAAAACGGCTAAGAATTCTGAAAAATTGCATGGAAAAACAGCAAGGCGGCCTTTGACTAGAATTCCCGCGACCCTCTTGGATGATAACTGATTTCAGGGATTTCGAATTTTCTCTGAATTTTTTCGAAGAAATATTATGAAACAACATAACTTTGGAAGCATTTTAAGTAACAAAGATTAGAAAAAGTTTTAGTCCCAGTCCCCCTTCAAAAAACGAACCATTGCGACATTGTTGCTTTCATAAATCGGTTCTCCATCCTTTTCCCATCCCATTTCTGGTCTCGGCCACGCTTCTGTGGTACAAACCATCCTTGCCATTGATCCAACACTTGCTTGAACTGTTACAGATTGGGCTTGTACCAATGGAGCAACTGAAAAAACATACCGCTCACTTTCACACATTCCCCTCTTTTTCAAATCGAAATCTTCAATTTGAATTTCATGAATAAAATTTGTGTGTCAGTCAGCGGACGAGAATACAAGGCGACAAACACTTTTTCACTATGTTTTCTTCCTGAAGTTTCTCTCTCTTCTCACCATCGGAGGATAAAATGATGAGTGTGTGCTCGGTGAAAATTGGAAAAAAAAACGAAAAGAAGAAGTACGCTTAAAATAGAAAAATAGAGACCTAGAGAGGCAAAAAATAAACAAATTGTTACGAAAGAAAACATGAAGAAAACTTCAGAGAATGCTAAAAGATGTTAAACGGATTTCGAGGTTTTCGAATTTCGTGATTCATAGAATTTCAAAATTCTGAAGTTAATTATCGAACTGCTAGGCGTTAAAAATCGACTCACAAGTAACAAGAAGTTTGACAGTCCAAGATTCGTCTGGAGGTATTCCATTGCTTGCCACACACACATATTCACTCATATGTTTTCTCGAAACTTTGGTCAGATGTAGGATTGGTCCATGGAATACGCTCGCTGAAATTTAAATATTGGTTTGTATTTTTTGTTGATAAAAATGAATAAAATTAAACCGGATCTAGTTACAGGTGACAAGAAGTTGATGAGACAAATCTTGTAGAGATTTCTTAATGTGATCTATTTTTGAAATTTCTAATATAATGCAAGTCTCTTCATTTTATTTTTTCTGATTTTTTCTCAATGAAGGTATTTTTTGATTTTTTTTTCTTCATTTTCATGTTAATCATCATGATTTTCTGCACAAAATAAAGTGATAAGTATTTCACCGTACGAACGTACACCCCATTTAAAAACTTCATCTTTTATTACTCATACTTTTCCCAAAACCCACTCCAAAAAATCCTAATTACTATCTCGATTCCATTTTCTCCCGTTTTTCTCATCTTTCAACCCATTTGATTTTTCTAATGCTACTTGAACAAACACATTGCCTAATATAGGAAAGAATCAAATGCGCGAGAGAGTGCTAATTGAGTGGATAAAAGATGGCATACTAGTAAAAGAAGTAGTAGCTGACCTCGTTTTGAGTACTTCTTCTTCTTCTTCTTCTTCTCCAGAGGGTAATGGGATTGAGCATATGGTATATGCGAACGGGTAAAGAGCTCATGCGAGAATGAAGAAGATGGAAAAGAAAGTCAGAAGGAATAACTACGCAACGGGTAATTAAATAGAGAGCGAACATGGAGAAGACGAAGATGAGTGAAATGGTCTTATAAATATAATTTTGTTAATGTATAACGAAGAAGCTTAGAACTTATTTACCACAAATCAGAAATTGGAAGAATCGGGAATCTCCAGAATAGAGAAAGTTTCAAAGTTTCAGAACCTCAAAATTTCAGATTTTCAGAGTTTGATAACTTTAGAATCCAGATTTTTAGACTTTTATAATTTCAGATTTTTAGAATTTCAGAATTTCAAAATTTCAACATTTCAGAATTACGAAACTTCAGGTGGGTACCAAACGTTACCATAAGATTTTTCAGAACTCAAAAAAAAAAAACCCAAAAACATATATTTGGTTCATATAATCAGAATCTCCTTCAGACCCCTCTCAATTTCTTGATTGTTTACAAATCATGCTCAAATGACTCCGATCAAGTCTTGCGTAACAAATCCCGACAGGTACCATCTCTTACTGTTTTCCCCCATTTTTACCTAGCAGCTGTTGTATTCCTTTTCTTCTCCCTGCTTACTGTCTCCAGATGCTTTCCATCAAAGGATATTGTTGCTCTTTTCTTCTTTTTTTGTTCTCTTTCGGCACTTATAATTGTCTGCCTAATTACTCACCGGAGAGCCGACTAATCAAGTGAAGCCGAAATAGTAGGCAGACAGACAAAGATTTGATTATCTCTTGGTGCAAAAGGACGCAAAAGTTGAAGAAACTAGTGTCAGTACAAAACATCAAAACATTTTTGAGAGTATTTCAATTTCCTAAAAATCTGGATCCGTCTATTTGTTCAGACAAGAATAGGAATTTGTAAAGTTGGGGTGAGAATTTGGGGGTTGGAAACGCGAAAAAAGATATCGAATGACCGAAAAGGACACAAACCTCCGAATCCAGTGGCACCGTTGTAGCGGATTATTTGACGATCCTGACGTCTCCAGATGACTGTTGGAGTCGGATTTCCGTCTGCTTTGCATGTCAGACTCACGTTGTTCCCTTCACGAACTTCGACTGCTGCCGGTGTACTGCGTGAGACGATTGGTGGCACTGGAAATAATATATCAGAAGATTAAAAAAGCATTTGATTGTTTTTTTTTGTTTGGAATTGCCGAATGAAATTTTCCAATGCAATTGAAGCTAACAATTGATACAGAAATCCAATTTTATTGGGATTGAAATTTCAGATTTTCAGAATCAAATTATCTTTGTTATATGCTAAAAGCTATCGGATTTCCAAATTCCCATTTTTCCAATGTCTCTAATTCAGAAGACGTTACAAAGGTAAATATCCGAGTTATGTACCTTTTGTTTTGTTTATGTAATTCGAATCCATTTTGTTTCTGAACTTCCATTCCCCAACCTAATAACCTAATAACTTCCCCCATTTTCCTTCTTCTTCAAAATATTTTCATTGTATTCAAATGACTTCTCTTGTCACCCCCTTTTATTACCCGTTCCCTGACTTCCGCTTGTTTCCGTTTTCTCTTATAATTAGAAGGTGTTCCGTTCCCTTCCCAATATGTTTTCACAAGAGATTTAGATCCCATCCAAAAAGAGCACCAACAAAAAAAGCAAAACGGAATCAAGGAGGACTCATTTGCATACAAATCTATTTTCACACTTTTCACACTTCTCCTTCCTATCGCACTTTATCTCGGGTTGGGAAAGCAAACGGATTAGGATTTAGTAAGTGAAATGAAAGGAAAAGAGAAAGAAGAAGAAGAAGAAGAAGAAGAAGCAATTGAAATAGAAGATGACTTTTAGATTCTCATTTAAGAACTATACGAACCTTTCACATCAAGCTCCCCAGTTGAGAGAATAATCGGTTCCGTGTTGATTTGGCATGAATAGTTTCCACGATCGGATTCCTGCAAGATTGGTTAGCGGAGGGTGATTAGACACAGGAAGAAAGGGAAGTTAAGGAAGTTATGAGAAACGGGGTTCGCTTTAGACAACTCCATAAAAGAATAATTCCGATGTTAGGGGATTCAAAGAGTCAGCTAATCGGTGATCAGGATACAAGTTTCGAACATCTAAAGTAGGAGTTTTCCCTGATTTTGAGATTTCACTTCGAGATACTTGTCATTTTCCTTAATGACTCCTTTCTTATCTATAGCGATACATCTATCAATAATTCCCAGCTTACCTGAACATTTTTAATCGTCAGAACCCATTCGTTATGCAGATCCCCAAGACGTGGCTTCAATTCGTACTTGTCCCTTCGCCGAAAAACTTTCTCATCGAACGAGAGCAATCGTGGCGGTGAGTCGGCTTTGACGAATGCTACCTATAACGAATCGGTTTTCGTGTGAGAAGACATGCGAGGATGAGACGAAGGATGAGACAAGAAAATTCATGAGAAAAAGAGGACTCGCCATATGACTTCCAAGATCATTCACGATACACGTAAAATCGACGTCCTGACCCAGAAGAGCCACTGCACTCGACATTGATGGTTGTTGGATTGTTGGAGGTGCTCCACGAGAGCATGCTGGAAGAATTGGGAATTCGATTTATTTACGATTCAGCTTTGGAAACTGGTTGCTAATTTGCTTTTGTTTTTTGTTTTCGGACAAATATAGATCTCTTAATCCTTAATCCATCAGGTTTATTAGCTAACTGTTCAAAAAATAAATGCAAATGAGTAGCCGAATTTCAGATGCTTTAAATAAAATGACACTGCTGGTTTAAATTTTCGGCCCTAGTTGGTTATTTTGGTTTTTAGGATTTTTGGACCTTACTATTAGGAAAAGAAAGGACCAAAATAACCGACTAATGTCAAATTTTTTATGGAGACATAAAAACAATTTTTACAAAAAAAAATAATATTACAAATTTTCAAAATGAAACACAATCCTTTCTATCTGTTTGCACAAATATTCTCATCGGTATCGAAATTTCTATGGAACTCTTTCTTCTCTTTTCTCAATGTTTTTCCCTATTATTCCAAGACATTTTGAATCATTCATCATCGTTTAGTCCGATATTCCCTCCCATCCGTTTTTTTGGTGTCATCTATCTTTTTTGGGGACAAAAAAGAGAAAAAAGAAACAAAACGGAAACGGTGCGGACTTTGACAAAAACTCTAATAGACATAATGTCTTCTTGAACGAACCATCAAAAAGGTGACATAGAATTGTTGGCAATACTAGAATCGAAGAAGACGTTGGAGGAGAAGAAGAAGCTCCATCGACGAGCATGATGTCGAAAAATGAAACTTTTTGGGAAAGAAGACTGGGAGGGAATCGACTCGTTACGAACTTATTGTTAACTAATAATATCCCCCGCGAGGATTCAAAAATTCTTTCTCTCCTCCAGCTACTGCGAAATTTGATTTGACACTCATGCTCGTCTTCTCTTCGGAAACTTTTCTGTTACAAAAACGACTTCTGCTCACCCTGCTTAAACACTGACAATACACCACAAAGAAGTGCGAATAGATACATTTTGAGGAGGATATAATATGAAATAAGGTGTCTTCTTCTTCGAAAAATAGAGACAGGGACTCACTTCTGAAGGTAGAAGCTCCCGAATGGGCGGAGTCTCACGGGGCGGTCCTCACTCTCTTTTGGAAAAACGACACAGATGGAGTCAGTTGGGGGTGGAGAGAATAAGAAGAAGACGAAGGACGACACACTCATTTTATTCTTGTTTTCCGGTTGGACACACTATGAAGAAATTGGGAAGATTGGGGTGGACCAGTAGAACAAGAAAAGAAGAAGCGCACAAAAAAAGAAGAATGAAGGTGTGCTAGAGGTTATTTTTTGGGAAAAGTAGAGCTTCCTGTTTCGATGTTATGCAAAACAATAATCGTATTAAAAATAGATTTTAAAAACTTGTATAAGATGGGATTGTTTTCAGATTCAGATGCATTGAGAGGCATGACCTACTTTTGATGACAGTGGAAGAAACAATGGGAAATTCTATAATGCAATGTTTTGAGAACTATGATTTCTGAGATTCAAAATAAAAACGAAAAAAAAATTCAAATTTTAAATAACCGCTTTATAGTAATATGAAACAATGAATGCACTGGACGCCGAATCCATTGAACTGGAGAAAGCTGTATGGTCGGAAAAGGCAATGGTCCGATCCACCGTATCACAACTCTCATGGACCGCCACGTCTACAAGGATATCCTAGATTTCAAAATGCTGTCACATTACAAAGCCATGGGTCGTGGGATTATTTTTCAACAGGACAGTAATCCAAAACACATCTCCAAATTTGTCTAGGTACATTAGATTCCAAGTTTATCGAATATTTGGATTCCAGAATTGGTTCTCGAGCCGTAGAATTCGTGTTATGGGCTGGCCCAGCCAGTCCCCATATTTGAATCCGATCGAGAATTTGTTGGAAGAGTGGGACAGAAGATTGGCAGGACAAAAAGCAAAACATGTGGACGAGAATTACCAACAACTGAAAACGGAATGATCTCACAGTCAGTAATCGACACTTTTCTCGACTATATGCAGCGCAGATGCCAGGCTGATGTTGACTCTTGCGGCTTTACAACAAAGTGTTAGACCCAATTTGTTAGTGTTTAGGTGTTATATGTTGAATAAATACGTTTTTCAAATTTTATGATTTTTTGGAAAATTAAAATCAAAATTTGATTTTTTTTTTCGAAAATTCAATTTTTTGTCCTAAAAATATATTTTTTTTTTATTTTCGTATGAAATTTGGCCGCAATCCGTCAAACGAAAACCAAAGAGTGGTCAACTTTTTGACCGGTACTGTAATAAATTTGTAAATTCTAATAGAAGTGCTGCTTTTTAACTTTCTGACTCATCAAAAGAAAAAAAGCACGATGGAATCACTGAGTAATGACCGGAACCCGCACGCATCAATCTTGATTTCTCGTTTGAACATTCAGATGGCAACTTAACCTGATTTTGTTAAGTGTATACTCGATTATCGTGCTCTACCGTAATCCTCAATTTCCACTTACCCCAAATTTCAATAGAGCGCGTTTTCATGTTTCTCTTGGGCCCCCAAAGGAGGCTGCACTGCTCCCAACGACAACGTGTTTCGAATCTGGCTCTCGTTGTTTTTTCTCTCCCCTTTTATGCACTTTGTTACTATGACAACTTGGCTCTCCGTCTATGTGGCTCTCCTAATCTCGATTCTTTTCCGGTTGAAAAATGTATCGGGTGTCTTATCAATCTCATCGATTTACTTCTTTTGTTTCTTTGTTTCGAAGTCGTAAAAACGGAGCTAAGCAGGTGTGCTTTTCTTGCATAAATCTGTTGGAGAGCAGACTTGTAGAGTTTCGTGAATCTGTTTTTTCTTCTTCCTATGTTATGTTGTCTTATAATGATACTGTCTATTTTTTTTTATTCTTCTAGATTTTATTCTTCTAGATTTGATGGAACGCTATAATCCACCAAGCACATCGGCTCAGATGTACTGCCACGGATGTCAGCGACAGATCAGAAAAGTTCAAGAGCTCATGGACGAGCGGTACCTAGACAACATTGCTTACCATGTTGATAAGAACACACTGGAGACGAAGCTGGACAATAAAGCCAAGGAGCTCGAACTGGAGAAGTTTAGGACAACGACTCTGACGACGTTGTTGAAGAGATCTCCGAATCCAGAAGCCATGGATGAACGAGTTAAGGAGATCATGGAAGTCAACAAAAAGATGGCCGAGGAGCTTCAGAAAACGATTGCTGCTCCGTTGAATTATCCATTGGAGGAGTGGTACAATGCAATCAACTTAAAATGGAACGAGAAATACGACGAACTTCGAGTGTTCCTCATTGAGAAAAATAACCAGCTGGTCGAGTATCAGGATATGGAAACGGAACTTTCTGAAGACATCGATCAGTACTGTCAAGAGATTGCGGCATTGAAGAAGATGTTGAAGAAGAAGGACGAGGAGATTGAGGAACTCAAGAAGTCCGCGGCAAAGGAAAATTTCTCCTTGACAATCAAGGAATCGGAGAAAAAGGGTGAGACGACGGAGGAGGAGGCAGATTCAGGAGAAGTTAAGGAGTCAGTAAAAGACGAATCAGAGATCCCGGCCGTCTAATATTGTTTTTTTCCAAACTCATACCTGTTTAGGTGGTTGTAAAGTTGAATGTTGAATTTCGTAATAAACTTGGGAATGTATTGTTTCAATTATCTAATACATCGGAAACTCAAAAAAAAGTTAAAGTCCTTCATCGTCATCGAGAGTAGCTCCTCCAAGCTTAGCAGTTTCCAGAACCACACTTGCCTTCAGTGCATACTCTTCGTCAGTTAATCGATTGCTCGTCGGATCAAAATCTCGTTCAAATGTCGACTGAAGTTTCTGCGATGTTGCCACGTGGTTCGTCCGTTTTTTGTAGAAGAACAGTCTCGAGTGATCAGATTTCCGATCTTTACTCATCATGGCCATTTCTGCCTCTGCGGTTTTATCGTGAATTGGTTTGTCGTGTCCTTCGAAATGATCAATCGGACGACGTCGGAGAAGGTGGAGGAGAATCAGCCCTGATAGGGTTCCGAGGACTATATAGGTCAGGAGTGTCATGTAGGGTGGCTGAAATGATATTTCTTCTCGCGAAGGATTGTGAAGACATTAACCAACCAACAAATATCTCTGGTCCGGTGGGATTTCAATATTTGCACCGTCAACTTTATAGGGGTACGGTTCGGTAGGAAACATGTCAAAGTAGTTTATAAAAACCACTTGTGGAATCTTTCCTTCCTTCTCATTCCCAGCCAAATTGCCAAAACCAGCATAACTTTTGCGAATCAGAATAATAAATCTGAAGATGATTTCAACTTCAGAAACTTCAATCCCAAATATTTAAACTCACAAGAAGAAACGGAGATTTCTCATTGCTGCAGATCCAAAAAAAATCCCTCACTTTTCAGCTAATACTTTATCTATGTTCCCACGTTGGCCACATGCCACTATCCCCCGATTTGTTTTTCACTTGTACTTTTTTAGAAGACGGTGGTACCAGAGAGGAGAACTCAGAAAATGAGAACTCAATTTAACGGCTTTAATTTCCGGCTCAGGATCCAAATTTTTTAGAAATATATTTTCGAAATGGTCTCGTTCTTCGCAATACTTCAAGATTTTCCAAAAAAAAATCCCTATTTTGACATGTATTTTACGAGATCTTATTCGTACGAGTTCTTATTTATATCAGTTCTCATTTTCCGAACTCTCATCCCTGGTACCACCTAGTAGACGTTGGTCTTCGAGGTCAGTGATACTAATCATAAGTTTGCATATTTTCTAATGTCGACTATTATGAACCGTTCTAACGAAAAGTACAATGTTTTTTTCAGGTAGAAATGTATTTTTAGTGAAAAACAGTAAAGAAAAAAGTGTGAGTAACAGCGATAGAATGAGCTCCCAGCATTCAGCTACATTTCCCCTAATCATCCAAACCGTCAACTTTGAGCTCAATCATCTCGATTTCTGTGAAAGATACCAATAAATTGTCCACCTATAAAATATTGGTAATATTATGATAAATATTTATCAGTTGACAGTTTTTTATTAATATCTTTCTCAGGAATCGAGATAATTGAGCTCGAAAATTGACGCTTGATGTGGGCCTGTATTAAAGGAAATACGGTATATGAAAGAAACTTAAAAACTGTTTGAGACTTCATAGCTATTCCTTGACTTCGAAAAATCGGGGTACTGGCCAGAGCTTCTTTTCCAATACTCCATTCATCAGGACCTAATATCCATATCGATTGAAGTCTTGCTCACTCATATTCGTGTCCTTTTCTACCTATTGTGCATTTTCTTTCCCCTTATTCTTCTTCTTCACCTGGTTCTATACTAATCGTATAATTGAATCTTAGCCATATGTGTTTGGACTCCCGAGGAAAGCAATGTTCATTCCCACCCTCCTGAATTAGCTCATTTATTTTCCCGTTTCCTTCTTCTTTCCTTCTCCAACATCAGGCCCTGTGCCTTTTGCATTTCTCACTTCTGTTTCGAATATTTTCCTCGTTTAAAGAATATAAAAACCTGTTATAGAAGGACTTCTGACTTTTAAATTTGAGCCAATTTTTCTCGGTTCTGTCAGAGATATAAAAAGGTTTCAACTAATATATTGTTTGTCATGATATCAGAAGTGTTTGTCAGTTAACACGCTTTTGATATCTTTTACAGGAACCGATATAAACTAGCTCAAGCTAGAGGCCCTTCTATTGCAGGTTTATCCTCTTTTCTTCAGATCGTCTCCTCTTTTCTACAGATCGTCTGAAAATGGATCCATGTGAAAGAATGGAAGACCAAATCAATAAGATAACGAACAAAGTCGAAACTTTGAAAAGGGATATAGTGGACATGGAAGTGAAGTGGCAAGAAAAGTATTCTGAATCCGAAAACGAAATTTCAAAGTTGACGAACTACAACAAACGCCTGCTAGACTGAATCAAAAAGATGTCTAGCGATCACAATAAATCAAGAAAAATCATTCTAGAAATGACAACCGAAGCCAAGGAGAGAGAACGACTTCTGGATGTGATCTTCAGAGATCGGGACGAATGTCTCGAGGAGAAAATGAAGGTTGCAAGGTTCTATCGCTCGGAATTGAAGGCACTGGAACAAGAAAACGATGATCTTCGTTCAAAGAATAAGGAACGGATTGACCCTAAAATTGGAGGAGAAGTTGATGAAGATTATGAAGATTCTGAGGATCCTTTGTGTTACGTCCTTAGGATCCGGCATTCTGGCCGACTCAAGGAATACGAATAGTAGTTATAGAATACAGATTTATTCATGTACTAAAGATGTACGAGAATAGAGGGGGAAAAGTAGAGAAGGCTGGGAGAGACTAGGACAGACCGAGAATGGTTGTCAGCCCCAAAGAAAGAGGGGTTCTGACCAATGAAAGAACTAAGAAGAAGAGTGCCAGAGAAGGGCGCTTTTCTTAGGTGGGTAGATCACAAATAATTTGGTAGATCAAATATAAAACTAATGGAAGTATGCATAGAATGCAACACTTTGCAAGATTCAAAAAACATAATTTCTGAAGACAGTCACCGTGGTTCGATATTATTCTCACAATTGGAAGTAACCGAGCAACAAATAAAATCGATAATTAAAAAAATGTCCGATCTGGAAGTTTTTATAAGTATACCAGTTCCGTCGTCAGAAAGCTCAACATCATTCTTCGAGAAGAAAAATGAGCGTTGGGACGATCTGACAAGATGTTCATGTAATCAAATTCACGAAACTATAGATGACTTGTTCATTTGTGCTGAAATGGTAAGCGATTTGAAAATCTCAATATTTTAATTCTTCGGAATTTTCCAGAAAAAAGAAGGATCATGTCTCAATAGCGGATAGTGTTATGGTACATGGAAAGAAACCAATGGTTTTCTTCGATTTATTGGAAACGAGTATGGATTCTTCAATGGTAGTTTGTTTGCTTTAAATTTCAGTCTGTTGAATTCGAAATTATTTTCAGATGAACAGTGAAACTGTTGATGATACCAGCAATCAAGTTAATTTCAGTGCAAAAACATTGTCTCGCTTAAAACCATGACTGGACACATTTTTGAATTAAACTTCATTATATTATTTTGTACTATTAAAACCTGTAACAAAAGGACCCCTAACATTTAACACACATTCTCTGTAGTTTTCGAGCATCGACCCATTGTCAAATGTACAAAAAAAAAAATCAAACTGTTCCAAATGTGTTGGTATTACATACAGTTAGTACACTTGAACTTCTAAGAATTTTGAGAATACTTTTGATTGACCCCGCCCACTTGGATCCGATCTGCAAGACTCGCTGATCAAAAAATAACTTTTTTTATTTTTCGAGATCGTTTCTATCTCGTTTCTATCTCGTTTCTATCTCGAAAAATAAATAAATTTAAAAAAATTGTTTTTTTTGAACAGTGAGTTGCTCGAAAATCTCAGAGAATGTGTGTTAAATTTAATTTATCTCGGTTTCGGTAAAAGATATAAAAAGTTGCCAACTAATACATTGTTTATCATGATATCACGGTCATTCTATCAGTTAACGCATCTTCGGTATCTTACACGAAAGCCAAGAAAAATCTGTTCAAACTTGAAAGTGTGGTGCCCTTCCCTTAGAGGTTTTACAGTGGTTAGATACATTTCTGTCACATAAGTTCTACTGTTCCGTTATGTACCAACCATTGTCTTGATTGTAAATTAAATCTCACATAATATTGCTGACGCTCTGTATACTATTTTTCAGTAAAGATTGGATCCTCCTTAACGTTTTCAATTCGAATTTTCGACGTTGTAATTTTTTAGGTACTGTAGTTATCGTTGTAGGACCTTCGGCCAGTGTCCGGTGTTTTTCTTTCACAGCTACAATTTTTGTACCAGAATAGTATACCAAGTTAACTTAACACTGATTCTTCGAAGGATAGAACTTGCAAGTAACTGAAAGTCAAAGTTGACCGTTTGGCATACTAAACGAAAGTTGCAGCAAATTCTATAGTTGACTTTTGTAATGAAACCTTGAAAACTACCCAAGTTATCTGGAAAAGTCTGAAAATATGCCTTTTGCAACCGTTGCAAGTTTATACGACCACTCCAAAGATCAATAGATCACGACCTCCAGCGAAGACGGAGGTGTCCAATTTTGATTCTGTAGAACTAAAATCACTGTAAAAAGTTGTTTTCATTACGTGTTTCTCTTTCTTTGAGTTTGTATCATGTCATGGAATCTTTTGCGGACTGATGCTGGAAAAGCTTCAATCGGGGCAGTTGGAGCAGCTGGATGGACCAAAAAACTATCAGAATGCAACAAAATCATTCACACTGTCATATCGACTGTTTTCTCATCCGAAAATTAACGAAAAAAAACCAGGATCAGCTCAAATCCTGCCCTCAAGATCCCAACCATCTACCAGTACTGTCGTTTTAAACTCTTTGAAGTCGTGTAATGGTATCAACCAGGAACTGAAACTTGAAGTCATCAAGTGGGCGGGTTAGAGATGTCTTAAAAATAACCAAGGCATCACAAGAGCAATCATGGTCCCAGCTCCGACACCTACCGACAATCACAAAGTACGTTGTCTCAACTTCTTTCAAAACTGAATCGGATCCAACTGGGGGAAGGCGTTAAAGTTTAACATGATCTACAAAAAAACCTTTAAAGAAACCTAATATTTTTCATTCTAAAAAAGTATCTGACAAAATTATCACCGTTTATACCACTAACATTTTAGTAGCGGACAAATTTCAAGTATCTTTTATAAGAACCGAGATAATTACCCAATAAATATAACAACAGATGGTGCGCCTTCGGCCCGATTCAACCTAGTTATCACTCGTTCGTCCTTAGTTTTTCACTTTTTTAATGGGTTACGAAAATCTACATTCAATTTTCGAGTTTTTTAAACTTTTCACACGTTACGCAATAAACTTACAAATCGATCAATATTAGGTCACACCCCCTACCTCTGTCCACGTGGAAAAAATTCCACGTATTGAAAAAAAAGTCCTTTGGGAAATCCCACTTTTTGAATTAGTTTGATAATTTTCACTAGCACTTTTTGACTGCCCTCAAGCTCCCTGCGTAAGCTGTTTATTGTTTCATTTGCCTTTTTCTTTCGATTGGTCGGATTCGAAAAAAGTTACAAAAGGCCCTCAGGGTCGCCATGTTTGGTGGTTCATGGCTAGGTGAATTCATTTTCACTGAACGTCCCCCTTTTGCAAAAGACCCAATCATAGAAAAAAGAAACAAATGAACAAAAACAATGAATAGCGATCGTATAGCTTCTTAGCAGTGAAAAATAACTATTGAAAATTTGAAAACTGTCTCCTCGGAGACAGGGGTTTTGTGTTGGTGTTTTCCCCCAGTGAAAACCTATTATCCCTTTCATGTACTGAGCCTCTACTTGGCGAAAGGGATCCACAGACGAAAGTCTGGCTAATCAGTACACTTTTGAAACTTGTCATTTTTCATAATTTTTGGTGACATGTTCAGGAATATCTCTTTTTAAAAATATTTTTTTCAATAAATTCCTTTTTTTACATCTTCCTTTTCTTTTTTCTCTTTTCCAAGCCCGTTTTCAAGAAGGAAGAATCGAAATTGGACACCTCCGTCTTTGCTGGAGGTCGTGATCTACTGATCTTCGGAGTGGACGTAAAAACTTGCAACGGTTGCAAAAGGCATATTATCAGGCTTTTTCAGATAACTCGGGTAGTTTTCAAGGTTTCATTACAAAAATTGTCCACTAGATTTAATTTGTTGTCTCGAATCCGATTTTCAAAAAATTAGGCCGATACCTCTAACAGCTCTGAAGTTATGACCCTAAACATGTGTGGACGTAAGAACCTGCAACGCACTGTAGTTTGCAGTCGAATAAGAACCGGTGGGCCGTCGACGGACTGATGACGAACAACCCCATTGGAAAACCGACTAGAAAGTTTCGATTGAAAGTCAGCAAGGAAACAATATTTCATGCTCCCACTAGATTATAGAATGATGATAGAAGCCGGTTTTCCTCGCATCGAACCGCCTCGAAAAAATAGGTTGTTGAACGGCGGTCGAAGGCGCTGGGTGGCCGCATTTCACCAAATTTATTTTTTTACCAAATTTCTGCAGAATGGAAGATTTTGTTCAAAATTTCTTTTAAATTTATTACAGTATAAAAGTTATAGAAAATGACCTTCAATTTCTTATTAGTAATATTTCTACAAAAATTAGAATGTGAGGGTCGTTTGGTGAAAGACGGCGGAATGAAAGTCGATGAGGTCGCTGACTGGTTGATGACGTCTGGATAAAACAAGCCGTAAATTCATGATCAATAAAATGATTGATTGATTTGATTCCAGTTTCCTGATTGGTCTACAACGTATGTACGAATTTTTTCAAAATTCAAAATTAATCAGATATTTTTGTTTCTCGATCTCCTTTCGCTTGCCTCTTCGTTCGTTTCTAATTCTCTGAATCTATCCGTTCCCTCTAGTCCGCATTCGTGTATTCTCCTCTTCAAATTGCTCTAATGCTTCTCTCTTCATACGTTTCCTCGTCGTTTTCATGTCTCGTGCCTATCGATTATCCTGCTTCTCTGACTTTCATGCATACGGCGTTCAGATAACTTCTCATTTTTCTTGAGCCCAAGGTTTTTCTCTTAACAGTCAACTATTATTCCAGGGAAACCAATGGAGTCATCATCATACGAGGTTGCTGCTTTTGCGGACGTTGTCGAAATGACCAAAGGAATTCCGGTGAACGCGGAATGCGTCACCGATTGGGTTATGGAGAAGTACAAAAATGAGCGACAACTGGAAGAGAAATTGGAAAGGATGGAGAAGCTGCTGGCAAACAGAGAATTCAAACTTAAGACACTGACAGAGGTTTCTCTAGACTCAATCTTCTTCTAAACATCTACTCATTTTGCAGGAATATGAAAACTATCGTCTGACACAGTCCTCCGAAAACTCCGATCGCGAGAAAGAATTGTTGGAAAACATTAAGAATCTTCAAGTGCAGAACGACCGATTACTAGAAGACATCATTATATATGAGCTAGGAGGAACTTCTTCTGGATTAGAGCAAATAGAGGAAGAGCATTATGGAGAAGAAGAATCGTTGGCACGCAAATTACACGAGGCTATCCAACGTCTTCAAAGTACTGAGGATCAACTGGAGATTACAAAAACGGAAAAGGATCTGGAGATTCAGAATCTGACGAAGCATTTGAACGATGCAAATGTAAAAGTAAATCGTACATCATTAGCCCATATTTTAATGAAGGCGGAATGTGACAAATTGCGCATAAGAGAAAACGAAATCAAGAACAGTTACAAGAAGAAATTGGATATTGAGAAGATTGAAGCGAAGAATGCTCTCTCTAAACTGTTGGAGGGAGAGAAGAAGAATAAATTGCTGCGGATGGAAGTCGATATTTTGAGTCAATTAATGATTGAATGCCGTGAAGCTCTTCCTATCCAAATAAAGAAAGATATGGAAAAGAAATTGGAGGAGCAGAAAGCAAGAGCGCATGTTCAGGTAGACGAGGAGCAAGTTCTTATCGCAAGCTTGCAAAAGGTGAGCGTTCGAAAGGCCTAAAAATTTATCATATAATCATACGCAGAGATGCCGGCAACTCGAGGCCAAAGCCAAAGAAGACCACTCGAAAATCGGCTATTTAACTCGTGCGGAGGGATACCTGGATAAACAGATCAGTAGTTTAGAGTCTGAACTACGCCAAGAGAGGGTGAATAATACAAAGCTTAATGTTGAAGTATTTGAATTGAAGCGAAAAATCAAGAACCTCATTTCCAACCCGCCTTCTTTGGATGAAGAATTCCACGTGAAGGAAGAAAAAACAGAAGACTCGTGCAATTCTGATGATTCATTTGAGGCTATAAACAATGAAGATATCTGAAAAGAGACTTCGCCCTGTTTCCTAGTAGATGTTCTTATCTTACAGTTCCCATATTTCGTGATTTCAGGAAAACTATAGATTTTAATTAGATTCAACGAATGTATTGAATTTTTGATGTAGCAAATAAATAAAATGGCACGATCTTTGAGATATTCACAGAGTACAAATGTTTTGAGACAATCGGGGCAAACAGCCTAAAAATTTGTCTAATGTGAGTATTTACACTAGGCATATAATACATATTTACACTAGGCATATAATACAATGAGAAAGTTAGTGCTTAGAATCTGGGGTAATTAAATACTTATCGATATTTCAAAATCTTGAGGGTGAGTCTTCTAGCAGTGGCGTATCAAGTTTCTCCACATGAAATCGGCCTCGTTGGGACTCGACAGATGACGGTGACGATTCCATAAGCTCAGCGGTCACCGTTTGCTCCGAATCATTATGAATATCTCCTAACTGCACTTCTTCAGCAGATAAGTTAGACTTGAACGTTGAAACAGAGTTCGATGCATGAGCTAGAGGCCGTAGGTTCCATCCAGTCACTGGGGTTGAGCATGACATGACGCCTGTACCGAACGAAGAGCACACTGAGTAGACCGATTGTGTCTCTGAAACGGATTACAAATTTCTTACTCCATTCTTATTAAACTAACTTTTCATGTCATTCCTAGCCGAGGAAACGGATGAAACTCTATGTACCGATTTCGATTCCGCGAATAGATCGTCCAGCCCAATTGGCGAAAGTGACAACTTTTCAGGTTTCTCAGCGTACATTTGTGGTGTTGATGCCAAACTAACTTGGAACTGTGGTTGAAAATTGAAGACGTTTTTCTTTTGAAATCGACTTACAGCTTGCTCAGGTGTTCTCACTCCGAAAGGAATGGCGTTACGTGAAGCATCATGATTATGAGTGTTGTCGCTGTCGGGTGAAGTTTGATTGAAGTTGGCTACGAGAATTGGAGATATTCCGATTATTGGTTCAATAGGAATCTGAAAAATGACGAACTACTTACTAGTTCAAATGACTTGTTGTTCATACAGTGTCATTTCGAGCGATTTCGGGGTAGATTACTCTGGTCGGCTTCCCACGAAGCTTTCTCCATAATCTCGAGAGTTTCGATTTCCAACCATGATCCATCTTATTCCACTGTGGATTATAATGCAGCGACTGTTCAGCATCCAATTGGTCGACGACAAACATTATCATATTCTTCGCTTGCCACCTCTTGTACTGTGATACGTGACTTCCAGCCGTCACCACCAGAAAAGCGGAGTAAGCAAAAAATAGCACAATAGCGACGAAAACGAACAGTGCAAACTCTGAAATGGTGATACTAGTTGAATTTGGTTATGGTTGATCAAATCGAACCCATTGAGGTTTCGTTTCGAATTTCCAAATTTCGAACATTTTGATCATGGTCCCGATTCTCGAACGCAAAATGATATTTCTGTCCAGCAAGTGCAGCTCCTTGCACACATAGATACAGTGCAACAAAGGCAAGAGGAGTGATAACCAGAATGAATGAAATATCCACGAACGGGTTCCGATTGTTTGGTTCAGTTCGAATCTTTTTGTAGCCTTTCTGACGGATGTAGTCCTTGAAATTGCGCGGTTTTCTGAAAAGAAATGAGGTACGAAATGAGGTACAACAAACTGAACTAACTGTTTTATTTTGAAGGAGAACTTGCAGATTTCACAATTCGTCGTTCTCGTCATTGTGAGCCAGTGTTCAAGACAACTGCGATGGAACAGACCCATCGTTCCAGAGCATCTGCATGGTGAAATGAGCGGCTCGCCTGCCTGTTTTCCAAGATAGGGAATCGAAGTCTCACCGCACATGCAGATTCGGCAAACTGCCGGACCTAGCGAGGCGTTGAAGTCTTCCATGAACCCGCACCTGAAATTTATTTCATAACCTGTTTTATAGTTAGAGCAACGCATTTTCTGAAATCAAGGACATTAAATTCAAAAAGGCTTCAAATCGCCACTCAACAAAACAACTGAAAACTTGAAGCCGCGGCCCGTAGGTTACTGTAGAGCTTAAAGGCGCGTTCTCAAACACCACTATGGGTTTCGCAACGAATTTCCCGAAAATTAGCCGGTTTTTCATTACGGCATGCAATTGCGTATTTCATCTTTTTCCGTTTCTCCAACTTTCGTCTCCCGCTTTTGAGTTTCTCCCTAATTCGTACGGTTCCAAACTCCTATATTTCTTTCTTCAAAATACGAATTGTGATGTATTTAGCTCCAAAAAATGGTTAATCCTTCCGTTCCATCTCCTGCTCGCCTGTCAAATACTCGAGTCTCTCTCCAAAGACGCACAACGAGCGTATCGACTGTGGTTGGTCTCTTTTCAGTTTTAAAACATTATCTAAATATAAAATTATTTCAGAACAATGGGCTAAACACGGCTTTTTACTTCCCGGATGATGATTTCCAAGCAGAGATGTAATTTTTATCAGAAAAAATTCATTTTTTTTTCTTCTTTTTACAGAAGACACACTAAATCGCTACCAAATCAGCCTAGTCAGTGGGAATTGGAGCACCCGTTAGCGATTCGATGGCTCCATTTCGCTAGGGATATAGTCTACATTCTTTTCGCTCTTCTCCTTCTGGAGGTAACAGGAGCTGGCAATTATATGCATAAGCGTGTTGGTGGTATTTGTGAGAACTTGTTCTGGTTCTTGTTGTAAATTGTATTCCGTAGTTTGTAAGATGTTTTATTCATAAATGAAGTAGCAGGGCGAGACAAAATATTAAACATTTTCACAGAGGTCGGAGCCATGATTTGGCAATCGAACTATATCTTTGAGCTAATTCACTGTTTGAACTGTTCCCTTTTCTGCAGACGTAAACATAATAGTGAAAAGTTTCTCCGAACTCGAACACTTCTATAGACCAATTTCTTTCCCGAAGCAGTGCCGGAACCCGAAAATGGGGTTGTGTGAATGAAACGGATATGAACATTCCATTTGGTTTTAATACTCGACAAATCGATGAAAAGATGTTTTCAAGATTTTGGAGCGCTGAATCTGATGGCTCCCAGGCACTTTTCTCGTTGACCAGAATCGCTTCAATTGTTGCTTTTTCGAAAACAACATCAAACGAAGAGGATTCGCAGTTTTTCAGTATTGTAATGTCGTCTGCCACCCATTTCATGCATGGATATTTCAAGCTACCATTATCAATGAGAACCTGAAGATAAAATTGATGTTAAATTACATTTAATTTTCTTACTTGCGAATAGTCGATGTTTGTGATATTCGTATAGCCCAAATCCCATAACTGCATCGAAACTTGACTAGATCCACACCCAACATGTGCGATACTGGAATTTAATCTTTTAATATATGCTTTCCAAAGGATGGAACCTTGAATCTTTAGATATGAGAGGAGTGATTAGGTGCTGGAAGGCATCTAAACCGCTGAGCCATTCAAAATTCTTCTCCGTCTTAAATCTTTCGTCCCAGTAGTCCATACGAGCATACTGACTGTTTGCTTCCATCTAAGAAGGAATCATTTCACTGACTGTACGGGTCGTTGACTCGCAAAAACTATATGGGTTGAAACCTCCTCAGGTAGAATAGATCTAATTACTAATAAAACATTATTTTATGACATAATGAAAAAAATCTGACAGTTGAAGGAAATGTGCAACTTCTAGATCGTCAGACAAAAAAGAAGCTACATAAAAGAATGCATGGGTGTTTAATTTAATTAATGGAACAAAAAATTGGAGACATAAATGAAAATGTACGAAGAACGAGGATAAGATAGCGGAAAAGAACGAAAAATAAATATTTGTGAGAAAAGCTGTAGAGATGATTCGAGAATCCCCAGGAAAAGAGAAACAGGTAAGTGGCGGAAATTGGACGGGCCTTGGGCTCCGGAAAATACAGATAAAAGTAATAATTATTCAAGTTTGGACGTCGTCTTCTTCCTCTCTGGCTTCATGAGTTCTTAATACGGCGCAAATCCTGGACGTCTTCTTGCTCCACGACCTCTTGGGCGGAAGCCGCCCCCGTAGACATATTTCACAATAACGTTTCCACGACCACGCCCACCACGTCCTCGGAACGGAGGTCTGTTTGTCGTTGACAGTCCGGGTCTGTTCGTTCGTTTTGGATCAACCTTGATCTGTCGTCCGCGAAGAAGACTGTCTGTCATTGCAAGCGCGTTCTGCATTCCATCCTTCTCGGTGAATTCAACATAAGCGAATCTGAAAGAGATTCGTTGAAAAAAAGAAGCTATGTTCGTTTCGAAAAAAAAACTACCAACCCTTTTGGATGACCACTGAATTTATCACACAAAATTGTGACTCGAGCTACGGATCCGCATCCGTGAAAGTGTTGTTCTATTTCTTCGGCAGTTGCTCCATAGTCAACATTTCCGACGTACACCGATTTTGCATCTGCTTCTGCTTTCTCTTCTGGCGTAAGCAGTGACTGTGTCGAGTTGCTTTGACTGCTTGTGTTCAAGTTCATGTGCCCGACCATCTCATTTTGGATTGCTTTCAGCTTTTTTTGTTCCTCTTCAATCTCATTCAAATCGCCCTCAATTGCTGAGAGATCCTGTAGAAAATCGCTGATTGCAAATTTTACACTGAATACAAAATATGGTCTTACCGCATCGTCTTCTGTGATGTCGTCGATGTTCAGAACATCCTCATCGATAGTGTTGTTGTCACTCATTTCTATTAAGAGTGGTACAAACACTGAAAAAAAATTACTTAAAGATAAAGAATGAAACTGTGTGAAAAGACAGAGCACGATATTTGATGAAAACTGAACTATTTAAGATGACTCAAAAAATCGCAGACTAAACAAGTCACAGTGATTGATTGATCCAATTGTTGAAAAAATCAATATATGTTATGAAGCAAATAGTATCTTTCATGGAGGACGAAAAAACAGAACTTGATAAATCAGTGCGGACCTTTGGAATCATCAACGTTTTCAACGCCAAAACCAATCAAATACGGAGAAAAACGAAACAGTGATGACGGCTGAAGAGACGCAGACTTGCTGTCGTTGCGAGACCCACACCAGTGCCACTGGAGCGAAATTGCAGAGCACTTTTTTGCTTTTTTTTTTTGCTCGAATATTAAATTTTCAACAGATCTTTTTTGTTCACAACAAATTTCTATTGAAATGTTAAAAATTTAGTCTCAATCAGTGATAATTCAATTGCAGTTCGTTATTTCGCAAGACCAAAGAATGACTCCAAGAAGAAAAGATTTTCAATCAACAGATAAAAGTAGAAAAGAAGACGATGAACAATCGAATGATTCCAGTGACATGAGGTGAGCTCAATAGATTTTTAAAAATTTCAAACAAAATCGTAAGATAATTTTTATTAAGTAATGAAGACGATGGCGGTTCAGAATCAGAATCTAAGATTGAGGGAGAGAACGGTCAGGAATCTGCCAATGCGAGTGATGAGGAGGAAGATGACGAAGGTTCAAGCAGTGATGAAGATGCGGAACCGGTAGGTATCAACGAGTATTTTAAAAAATAAGTTTTTTTGTTCCAGGTGGTTTTGAACGTAACGGAAAGAGCAAAAAGAGCAACTGCTGGTAACAAAATGGCCGCTCTCTTAGCATCTGCTGATCAAGAAGACGAGTTCTATAAAACAGCGTATGGAGGATTTGAAGAGGCAAGTTTTATAATGCTTGAAAATTATTATTCATCCGATACAATTCAACATAGGCTTAATCAATTTCTTCTGTCGGTCAAAGTTTTATGTATCTAGAAACATTTTTCAGAATAACGAGGTGGACAAAGAATTTAAATCACCTGTGCATTCCGATGACGATGACGTTGACTCAGATTTTGATAAGCCAGAAGAAGAAGACGAATCTGTAAGCGGAGAGGAAGAAGACGGGCAACCACGGAGGAAGAAGAGGAAGTTTAATGTGAGTTGTTCTGAACCAGAAGCGTTTTTTTCATGTGCATGATTCAACAGGAACCAAAACGAGGAATGACTGCAGACGATATTCTGTCAAAAAACAAAAAATGGGCAATGTCACGATTGGCTGGAAACATGGTCCCAGCCAACACCGTTGATGATAGAACGCAAGCCGCAATGTTGAAAGAAGCGGAAAGTACCGAAAAAATGAATGTGGAATCACTGAAAAAGTAACATTGTCATACTTTAATTTTTTAACTCGTCTATGAAAACTTCAGGTACGAGGAATTTGAACTGGAAAGAAAGAAAAGAAGAGAGAAGAACTCGGTTCGAGTATTTCCGCCAGGACCACGTGAGCAGATAAAAATGACTGCCACTGGAACGACCGTCACTGTATCTGAAATTAAAGTTAGTGTTTTCTCGATTGGTGAAAAAAAAGTATCCATTATCAAAAACGTGCTCTCTGGGGGGAGTCTTTCTTCTTGCTTAATGTAGAACCAGATTGTTTCCTGCCTGAATTGTGCACTTCACGAAAAATATATTGCTCTTGAACGCCCGGTCTTCAGCTTTTTGCTTTTCTCATCTCTTTCTCAATGAGAAGACATATTTTTCGATGCGCTTCTCCTTCTTTGAGGAGACAGAAAGAAGAAAGGAATAGAGTGAAGAAGAAGACGCGGGAAATTCCCATCTTCCAGGGGTTTCGTCAGATAATCGACGAGTGCTCTACTGGCGGAAAAGGGTCGTGCATTCTGTACGTCCTTGAATATCCACTTGTCCCGTTATCTTGGAGACACTTTTCAGAAGTTTCTTTTCTTTCTATATGATTTTGATGGTTCTACTGTAAATATGCCTAGATTTGTTTCCTGCTGCTAATCTCCGTTTTCTGTTTTCTCTATGATTCTGTTTATGGCAGTGCCGCAGAAACGGCAGTAGATACTCTTCTCTTCGTATGTTTATCAGATTCCATGTTCTTCCTTTTCCTTTCATCTGCATTTCCTTGGGCACAAACTTTTTCGCCTTAGTGGGAGAGACTTGTCAAAATTGCATCTCATTTTGGCTGAGTACTCGCTTAAGCCAAACGGAAAAAGAAGATGCCCGCCTTTTCATTTCAAAAAAGAAGACGAAATTCCAACCAAAATGTTCCGGGGAGGGAGTTTCGGGTTAGTTTTGTCACAGAGAAAAAACGAAGAAGAGGACGAGAGAAACAGTGTAGCATCGGCTAGTAAACGACGACAACTCCACCAGCCGATTCTTCAAGAATAAGCTTCCAACGGAGCCCAGCGCCTCACATACACGCCGCCTGGATCTGTTGGTTCTCTTTCTCCCCTCTCCTCCAGTAGTAGTTGGCGATAGGCAGTTTCGGGTTGGTGCCCTGCCACTGGCTGCTCCCGTTTCTTCTTCTTTTCCGTCTTCTAGACGAGAAGCTCTATACCCTCCAACTGGAGCGCACTCCTTCTGTTTCTTCACGCAGACCTCATTCTCTAGCTTCTCTTTCTTCTCTGAGTGCTCATTCTCAATTCTGCCATCGTTGTGTGTATCTGGGTCCTCTGTCTCTGTCACTTTCACCATTGCGTTTTGCACTTCCTCACTGGTAATCTCCTGTTCTCTGCGTTTCTCTCATGCTTCTTCCATAAGAAATTTCGCGAAAGCCTTTCAATTCATATTTTCATGGGCTGAAGTCATGAAGAGTGAAATGAAGTATTGGTTTTAAATAAAAATTGCTGTTCCCCACCCAAGGGTTCGTTTCTTTTTTCATTCTGTGCAGCTGTTCTCTAATGATGATTACTTTCAAAAATCAGTCTCCTTCTCACTCAGGGCTTCTCTCTGTCGTCTTCGGTTTTTAGTCGTCTGTGTCTCGCCCCTTTTTGTGAAATTCAGTCGGTTTCCGCTCTTGTGACGTCACCAAGTAGAGAGAGCTTCTGCATGAGTTCATTGGAGCGAACTTAGATTCGAAAGTCGTTTCATTTCCTTTCGAAAACTTTTTTATAAGCACTTGTTTACCATTCATCGGTACCTAAAAGTTTTACATTTCTTGAACTTTCTATCCCCGTTACTCATAAGCTTTCTAGCAACGTTTTGCTACTGCAGAAGAAAACATATATGTTTTCGTTGAGAAAAAAAAAACGGAACAATGCTTGTCCTCATGTTTTGCTGACAAAACAATAGCAAGGTTACTGTATCTATCATCCGACAATGACCGGTGAACTTCAATGTAAAATCTAGATTCAAATCTCTTTTTTCGATTTACAAAACGCAATAATAGTATTTACTACACAGGGCACTTGTGAAATCATTATCGCTGACACAGTTAGGTGGTAATGTTTGCGTCAGTAACCGTTGTAGTGAAAAGCGATTAGCGTATTCGGCTGCAGCCGTCGTTGTCTCGGCAAAGTAGTACCGTAGCTTCCTTGTTTGCGTTTCATACATATCTTCGCTCCAACTTTTACTTCTGTGAACTTTTTTAAACTTGGAAGATTGATTAACATGAAGTATCTCCGCTGAAACTTTTTGTGTCCGGGGGCAGTGTGAAAGTTGTCCAACTTTGGAAAGAGGGCAAAGTGTACATTGGGAGAGACCACTCCAATTGGGTTGGGGAGAGCCCTCTGCTCCCCACAACACGTCTTCTTTCTTCTCGCTTCTTCTTCCATCTTGTCGCCTCTTTTCTTTACTTTTTCTAGTCTTCCGCGCCTTCTTTTTTCCTTTTTCATTGCTTCTTCTTCTTCTTCTTCTTAGTCCATAGATTCAGTTTTTTTCCCGACCCCTCTTTCTTCTAAACCAACCCAAAAAAATTCGTCGACACAACTCCTTTAACTTTAAACATTTTTCACTAGTTTTCGGCGCCACAACCATAGTGTCGAATCCTTTCCAGGTAGTATTGTGTTTGTCGTCGTCGTTGCTTTGTGTTGCTTAGGTTGCACATAAATTGTTAGGAAATGAAGAAAAAGAAGAAGCGCGCACCGCCCGTTGTCTATGTGTGTGTAACTGACTTCGGGTCGCAATGTCTCGAATTACACGTGTTTGACCAATTTGCCTTGCTCTTGCTCCGCCTTTTGCTCATCTCCTGTGCCACCAATATTCTCCAAAAAGGTTCTCCCCTCACCTTTTCCCTACTTTTTGGCTTTTTGTAGCACATGCATTCTATAGGACATGGTCTATGGTCGCATCAAGATTAAAAGTCAAAAGATCTGATTTTTCATCTCCCACAAGTCGAGCCTCCCATCCCGAACAGATACTCATATCCAGATGGGATCGATTCGCAAGCAATCCCATCCAATAGTGTTTTCTCCTCCAAATCTTTATTTATTTCTGTGTATGTGTAGTTGTAGTAGGGCTACTACCTCTCTTCTTGATCGTTTCTGTTTCAAAAATTCATTCCCATTTTTTCCGATTCAGTAGATTTGATCCGTCTTTTAGGTAGTATTGGGCCCCAAACTTTCGCTTTCAATCGTCCAATTTCGTGTTTTTTGAGAATAGGGGTGTCTCTTTTCATTTTTCTTCTCTCGATGCCTGTTTTTTGGGTTGGTTTCCATTTCCGCCATCTCTACTTCTTTCTTCTACCATTTTTTTAAATGTAGGTAAGGCATGTTGCTATTTAGTAATTTTTTCTATTCGTATACCATGAGTCTTGGAAGTACTACCGCCATCAATTTTTAAAGAATACAGTGTGCTAGTCATTTGCAACTGCACTTTAATATACAGTTTATTTGTTTATTATGTCTTCTCCGGCGGTCGTAACACACCCCTCGTTTATTCCGTTTCCCTGGTGTTATCTTTTGCTTTTGACCAAATTAGATATGAGACGGGCGGTCACTGGGCTTTTTTCGATTTCTCGCATTGGCGACACTTCCGGACAACAAGAAGTAGTATTGGTTTTTCAGAAATTGAACCGTAGGATATCAGTTAAAAATTGTTTGCTCTCTTGTTTTCTTATCAAAGCTCAGAAACTAATATTAAAAAACTCGAAAATATTTTTCTCTGAAAATAGGCACTAGATATATAGCTTAAAAAGCCACATTTTTCGTATTCAAAAAAAGAAAACCTGCTTTGAATATGAATAGATTTGAGACGGCACCATCCCACTTCCGACTGTCGTTATCTTTCGCCTATTTATCAGACATGAACAGACATCGCATATCGTATTACGAAATGTATAATTATAAAAATCAATCTATTTTTAGTACAGACGTCACCCAATATTTTTGGTACACCTATGGTGAACTCTGAGTAAAAGTTGCGATATTTTTTTTATCTGTCCACAAACCCTGTGTCTTTCTCCTCCAGCCACCAACCGTCTATACCATTTTTTGTACAACAACTACTGTTTCTCCTTTGTTTCATTCTTAGCTTCCTCTCTCTCTCCCTCTAACCCCGTCTCTTTTCTTTATCTTGCATATTTGCTTTTCGAAAGATCAATGCAATGCCCCGCACTGACGTCACTTGTCCACAAATCAAAATGTGCGGGAGCTCTTTAGAGTTGTGAGATGACTCCTTTCTCTTCTGAGTCTCCAGTTGTCTATTATTTCACAAAGTTCTTTCGTTCCTCTTTATAATCAGCTGTTTTCTTCTAGTCTAACTGATTTCTTTCATGATAATGTTTAGCAGTGGCATCGTTACCATTCCTATTGACGTTATTTTGGTCAGTTGTGAGCTACTGCGTCGTCGTTATCATTCCACCCCATGAGATTACATTTCTCCAATCGTTAAATAAAACTGTCGTCACTGCTCGTCTTGTTTCTCTTACTGATCATTGATTCGTTTCTTATTCTCCTTTTCCCATCTTTCTTACTTGAACCCCTTTCAGTCTTTATCCGCTTCATTGAAAAGGTGAATGTTCCCTTCCCTTTTCACCAAGAAAGCTCACAGAAAAGTTTCAGTTGATGGCTTTCCAAAAAAACGTTTTCCGTTCTAGTTACATCCATTTTTCTTCTCATCTGATGTCTATCAATATTCTAGCAGCGATACTTTGGAAGTCTTTAAATATTTTCGATCTTTTTTGTATTGCTATCAATACCGCTACTTAGAAATCAAAGATGTGGTGACACAACAGAGATTGAACTGTTTTTATGAATATTCATGAAATGTGGGAACGATGTTCCCTCGTTGGTCACAAGTTTCATTCCTCTTTTGAATGTTGGCTTTTGCAGCTTTTGGTCTTCTTTTTCCATGCCCCTCCCTCCTTGTCTCTTCCCTCTTTCATCTCCAAGAACTGAATCACTTACTTTGAAATGTATCAGTAGTAGAGTGGTCTCCTCTCCATCTCTCCGACTCGTCTTATTTCATCAACTTTTCTACTGGCCGAGTGGCTTCCATCGGCTCCCCAGACACCCTTATTTCTTTGCACCCTCCCCAATCTCTAGGTCTAACACTGACCGCTTGCCACCAACATCAATGCGGCTCCCCCGGTGAGAGTCGGAAGGCGGTCGGCCACACACGGACAGATGAACGCTTTGGAACTCGTACTCGTTCCTCCCCCTCCTCTTCCCTTTCCCTTATCACCTACTCTGTGTCTATTCGTCGTCGTGAGCTTTCTACTTTTCATCTGTCAGCAATTACCCTATTGTTGATAGATGGACGGTCGCGCATGGCGGCAACGAATTCAAATTCTCTCGTTGTTTTGAACTAGTGTTCTTTTGTAGTATTTCAAAACGAACTTCTAAAAATAACGTTTTTTTCAGCCATTCAAATGCGATCGTCCGCGGGAACGAAACTTATGCGCAGTTACTGGTCGTCCGGCTCGATATATGGATCCAGTCACCAATTTACCGTACTCTACACCATATGCCTTCAAAGTGATAAGGGATAGATACCACAAACATTTAAGAACCCTGAGAGGAAATGAGGAGGTAAGAATTAATGTAGGAAGTTTTCTGTGTTTGCAATATTTGTTTCGATGTAGGTATATTGTACATCTCATCCTTTTTATTTGAAACTGGCTATTCAAAATTTTGTTCAATTCTAAAACCCATCTTTAAAGGAGGCGAGACAGCAAAAATTTCGGGGGACAGTTCGGTGGACGAAATCGCGCCGCGCTTATGTAGACCATCGGTCGTCAGGCGCCTTCGCGCCCCCGTAGTTCAGCCGGTAGCGGCGCTGTACCCCTGAGCTGCCTGTCATGAGTTCAACCCCTCATAGGGGTTCTCTATGCAAATTATCAGGAAAACTTTATTTTCGGTGTCTGGCCTCCTTTAATTTAAAAATTCCAGGCGAAATGTTTATGATCCACGTAACCGACTATTGTTTTTTCAGGTAAACTCATACTTGGCTAGTTTAAAAGCACTGCCAACTCCTCCGATGTCTCCCCGAACGTCCACAGTAAACCCTGGACAGACTACTTCTGGAGCTACTGCTAAGAGTTCTGCCATTCTGATGAAACATTGAATTCGAAAAGTTCGAATCATCGCCCATTTCTTTCTTTTTTTTTTCATCGCATTGTTTGTTCTTGTACATATCTGCTCCCCCTTTTCGTCGTCTTCCTCTTCGTCTCTGGCTGCTCATCCCACCATCAAGCTCACCTCTCTCCCTATTTCTTTTTCCCATTCCATTGCCCTCCTTTTCTTTTTCTTCCTCTCTCCCTCCATCGTTTCTGCTGCTTCTTTTTTCATTTTTTTTTCTCCGCCACCATCCTCACAAGCCGCGCCGCTTCGAAATTCGTCCAATTTTGCCCTCCTCGGCGCCGCCGCCGACGGTAGGGGCTCGGTTTTATTTGTAGATCTCTTGCAAACTTTACCCCACCGCCAACCTGATCTGATAACTTCCCCTACTTTTTCATTCAACCGACACGATTTTTTTCTTGTTGAAGAGGATACGATATTGAGCCTTTTTTTACCCATCCTATTCCGATTTTTTTCACCTATACTTTTATTCAAGCAATTAATCTACATCTTTAATTTCCCTCTCTGTTTATTATACCTGTTCACTTCGGTTCTCAAACCGTGACAATATCTGCAAAGTTGCCGTTTTTCTTATCTTATCGTTTCTTCTTCTTTCATTCAATTTTCTAGTCTGAAAACGAATCATTTTCAGTTCACTCTTCCCTGGGCTGCTGTGTCTTCCAAGCTAGTTTTAAACCAGTTAGTTGCCACTTTTCAATTAATATTTTCTCATCGTTTTTTTCAGGTTATGAAGAAGGCCGACGAAAATGCCACCCTCATGAACGGGGTGGAGCCCGCTGCCCCAGCTCGTGACGATGTGCCGGAAACCTTTCGGCAGTTCCTCTACAACAAGAAGAACGGAACAGTGCTGGGCAGAAATGGAAAGTCCTGGTTCCAGGTAACGCAAGTTCTTCTTCTACTGATGTTATACCTTTTATGATCCAGATCATCGTCTTCTACATCATATTCTATGCTCTGCTAGCAGCTTTCTGGCTGGCCTGCTTGACCATCTTCCTCCGAACTCTCGATCCAAAAGTTCCCAGATTTTATGGTAAGGGAACCATCATTGGTGTTAATCCAGGAGTCGGATACCAACCATGGCTGAAGGAGAGACCGGATTCCACCCTGATCCAGTACAATCTCCGTGACCAATCCTCCTACAAAGCATACGTCGACCAAGTGAAGGGCTATCTGACCAAGTATGACTCGAATGCCACCGAGACTCGTGAATGCGGAGCTGGAGACAGCAATGATGACCTTGAGAAAGACCCCGTAATTTTAAGCGTCTATCAATACGTTCATAGATGTTCTTTTTTAGGAAGCTCTCCCATGTCGATTCGATCTCTCCGTCTTTGACAAGGGGTGCAGCGAAAAAACCGATTTCGGTTTCAAATCTGGAAAACCATGCGTTATCATCTCTTTGAACCGTCTCATCGGATGGCGTCCGACTGACTACCCAACCAGCTCTGTTCCAGAAGAGGTTAAGGATCGCTACAAGGCTGGATCGATCGCCGTCAACTGCCGTGGAGCCACTAACGTTGATCAGGAACACATCGGAAAGGTCACCTACATGCCACCGAGCGGCATTGATGGACGTTATTACCCATACGTTTTCACTAAGGTTAGTGTTTCTTCCAAATAGTTTGAAATCGATTCGTACATTTAATGCTAGAAAACGGGCACGAGACGATTTCCGTTTGTTTCGGAATTTTACGGCGTTGTAAAACTGTTAGTGGTGGGAGCAAAAGAGGGGGAACCGAAATAGTATTCAATATATAGAAACGTTGATTTGATTCAGTCAGTGAGTCAGAAATAGATTTTCTGACATCAATAAAATTTCAAAAATCGTCTCTTGGTACTGTAACCAACGAAGAGATAAAACGATAAAGATGAAGAGAATGAACTCTGAAAAATATAACAAATTGAATTTTCCAGGGCTACCAACAACCGATTGCCATGGTCAAGTTCGAAACCATCCCCCGCAACAAGCTCGTTATCGTGGAATGCCGTGCATATGCTCTCAACATTGAGCACGATATCTCGTCAAGACTCGGAATGGTATACTTCGAAGTGATGGTTGAGGACAAGCCAGTCGTCGAAAAGAAGGAGTTGTAGAAGTTGTCACCCACATCTCAGTGTACACAATCGCTAGGATCCAAGTGCCTCTAAATATCTCTTTCACAAAATATCCCCTTTATTTTATCTTAGACCTTATTTAGCTTCTGTAGTTTTGAAATACATCTGGAACCACATTGAAACAGCAGCTATTTTTTTCCAAATGTTTCTCTTTTTTCTTCAGGAATGTTCATTTTTTGTTTTCTTTCTCTTCAGTTTTCTTAGTCCTGAATTCTGTGTCTTATTCCTCTTTTGACATTAGTTCTCTCTTTAAGTTTTGAAGATATGATAATAATCTGTGCAATTTCCCATCTTTTAATAAGCACCCTTTTCTTCTTTCCATTCACTCCCCACTTTGCAGTTCGTCGTAAATACTGTCTAATCATTGACTTAATTTCCGGTGGCTCAGCTGGTTTCATTGTTTTGATTTCAAAGCGGGTTAACTACTTTATGAAATCGAACAGTTAGGTCTGATGGTTAGCCACTATTTTTCGATGAGTCAGGTCTCTTCAATTCTTTGTTTCCAAATTTTTTGATAGGTTCGGTGTGGACTGGTGGCGTGGAGCATCGGTATCGTTTTGAGCAACCCGTCCCTCCTTTACCGCTTTATCTCCTTCTAATTGTTTTATTGTTTTATTATTCTTTTTTTGTGAGTAGGCAATTTGCCGATTGGAATATAAATTATGATTTTTTGCAATCTCGATATATTCCCTTCGACAAGTTTCATAACTCATCCTGTTTACTCATTTCCAGCATTTTTCCGTTCGAAACATGCGTTTTACTGTGTGTCCTTCTCGAATTTTTCCCGAGAATCCCGTCTCTCTTCCACCTGATTATCTCTTTCCCTCTCTTCACCCCCTGAAAAGATTTCTCGTTTTCCCCCCGAACCCCCGTATCTTTCTAGAATAAAGCCAATCTATTTGAAAGATTTATGGACGTTTTTTCTTCAAATTCCCTCACATGTTGCTTTCCATTTTTGCCCTCTATTTTTTTAACCCCTCTAAATTTTCAAAACCCCGTACAGACCCGTCCACCCGTTTTTTTCTTTTATCGCAACCCACATTTTTCTCATTTTTGTCTTTTCCCGTTCGTCCCATTTTCCCACCGATTTTTGCATTAAATCTTCGAATACAATAAACCTTTAAAACGTCAAGTGCCTCTCTCTATCGTTAGAGATAGACAGATCCTCCGAACATATACAAATGTGGCTGACTCATTTTCGAATATCTGGGCAACTACCACTTTCACTGCTTCTGCTGCTTCATTTCACCGCTTCGCTGGCATGATTTTTATAGCACTTATGTTGTATTTCTATGTGAAACGTATCAATGGAAATTATTAGATAGCCGAGGAAGCGCTTCCGGAAGCCAACTAAACTGCAGAAATTTATGTCCACTGGCTCCTCAACAGTAAAATCTGCGTACTGCTACTGACAGGCCAGAAAAAAAAATGCTGGCAGGCCAGAATTCAATACTCTTAAATAACTTTGGACGGTATTATTGTCGGAATAAAAAAGTGACACTCGGTGTTTGCGTACTTTGATTCCCGCCTCCCCCCACCGACGCTCCGCCCATCGCTT